TCGAACTGTGGTTGGCCATGTGGGAGTGTCCAGCACCTTAACCACCACGTCACCTGCTGGTCCCTGTGATGATCTATTCTTCACATCCAGAGACCATCCTATAAATTCCATGCTTACGTGGGTGAACCTATGATCCAGCCTGGCTGGGGTGTGGGTTGTGATTACATTATGAAGACCCTATTGGTGGTGCCTGTCTCTTCTCTCTCTTCCCCCACCTGCCTCAAAGAAGAAAGAAAAGAAACTTTAAATAAACGTTAAAACATATATATACATACATATATGTGTGTGTGTGTGTGTGTGTATAAATATATTTTTACATATATATCATATATATATGATTTTACTAAACAAGAACAGGCAAATGGAAAAGTAAGAAATCTTTGAAATGAAGGGACCAACAGCGTAATGGCTATGTTGCTGGACTCCCATATAGTCTACCGTGGTTCGCGTCCCGGACCCGGTGACTTAAACTCATGCTGGGCACGTGTGCATGCATGCCCAAGATCCCAAGAGGAGAATGGAGAAGGGATTGTGGCGTGGTCATCCCCCAGAGGGTGATTTCTTGCTTTCTGTCTCTCTGTCCCTCTCTGTCTGCCTGGTGAGCGCACACGCCCTATAGCAAAAAATCCTCTTCAAAAAAAAAAAAAATCTTTGAAATGAAGGGCCTGCAGTTGTCATGGTGGTTAACGGCGCCGGACTCCCCCCCTGAAGGGCCTGCAGTTGTCATGGTGGTTAACGGCGCTGGACTCTCCCACATGACTGATCGTGGTTCAAGTCCTGGACCTAGCGGCTTACTTTCTTACTCCATCTCTCTCTCTCATCAAATTAACATAAATAAAGTTAAATAAAATATTTTTTAAAAGAAATCTTTGAAATGAGAAATACAGCCTTAGGAATTAAAAAAATAAACAGTGGGGCCAGCAGGTGGTATAGTGGTTAAAGCTTAAGGCTCTAGGTTTCTACATGGCCGATTGCAGTTCAGCTCCAAGACCTTATTACTTGAAAATCACGCTGGGTGAGTAAGTCCCAAAGGAGAATACAGGAAAAGGGATTACAGCATGGTCATTCCCTTGGGGGTTGATTTCTCACTTAACTTCTCACTGTCTGTCTTTCTCTTTCTCCCTCCCCCTACTCTCCTGGAAGTGCACATACCCTATGGCAAGAACCTTAAAAAATAAATCAAACAGTAAGTGGAATAAACTTAGATGCTAGGTACAACAGAAGAGAGCTGAGAAAATATTGAGTCATCAGAAAAATCATGATGAATTTTTGTATGCCAAAAGGCTTCATGACTTTTCCAACAACCATATAATTGGCTATGGGGAACATAAACAGGTAGAAAATGTGAAAGAGATGAAATGTCATGGAGAATAGAATGAGATGCATCAGTGGAAGCATTTATAAAATTTCCAGAAGGGGAAATAGGGAGAAAGGAAATATTTAAAGAGATAATAGCATAATACTTTCTGCAGTACCGGGTAAAAATAATTAATTACATAGGTAGCTATAAAATCCAGTATAGGTTTGGTTTGTAACTTTTTAATTTAAATCATATATGATTTGAAAGACAAAGGCATAAAACAATAACTAAATCTATGTTAATGAGCATACAGTGTATGAAAATGTCATTCATGACAATAATAGCATAAAAGAGCAGATATTTGGTAGATTGTTGAAGGTAAATACTAGCTCAAGTTGTTTGTTATAAATTTGTCAAAACTTAACTTGGGTTGGACTAGCAGATGGCTTGGTGGTTGGAGTGCTTGACTCCTAACAACTGTGGTTCAAGTCCCAAACTGGTGGCTTTTATTCTTGCTTTCCCCCTCTCTTTTTCTCCCACTCTCCCTAGTCAAATTAAAAAAAAAAAAAGATGATGGATAGAATTGAATAAATAATGTTTAAAAAGTTAACTTGGACTAGGGTTTTTCCTCTTTTCTGTGTAATTGTGTTTTCATTCTTCTGAAATATGGTAAAGTTCATTCATTTTTGTGTTTCATTTTTTCCCTCCCTCTGTTGATCTTTTTAAGTATATGAAACATTAATATAGTTTCAAAAATCAGAATTCCGCAGAAAAGGTATACGTAGTAGTGCTCCCTACCTTCCTTCAATCTTTTTTTTTTGCTTCTTTCCCACCCACCCCAGTAAAAAACTGAACTCATTAAACTGGCTTATCCTTCCTGATTATTTTCTTGAACAGATGAACAGATACATGTATATTTTATTTCTCCATTTTCCATAAAAGATGCCATACTCTACGTTACTTAGATGTACCTTCATTTATTACTCTTCTGTGTTTGAGCTTATATAATTGATTATGTAATTATAATCTATTAGAAACAGTGCTATAATGAATAATTTAAGCATGTATATTTTGTGCCATTGAAGTGAATTGAATTGCTAGAAGTGGTATCAATGCATAAACACATGCATTTTCTTAGTTATCACAAAGTTCCTTCTATCAGAGTTGTGCACTTTTATACTCATAGCAGTAATATATAAGACTTTATTTTCTCATGGTTTAGCTAACAGGATATATTATTACACTTCTTTATTTTTACCAGTCCTTTTTTAGGAGTTGTTTATATATTGGGGATATCAGTCCTTTATTGGTGATCTGTGCAGATGTTTTCTCCTAGTATTACTGATTTTTTAAATTTTATTTTTTGTATTTTTTTTTAGATTCAAAGACTTTTTTCATGTAGTCACTTGTCATTTTATCTGATTATAAATAACCATGATTTGTATTTCATTAGTAAATTTTAGGTATATTTTAATTAATATAATTCTCTCCTTTTTTAGGAAAATTTTGAATGACTTATCTTCTGATGCACCAGGAGTGCCAAGGATTGAAGAAGAAAAGTCTGAAGAAGAGACTTCAGCACCTGCCATCACCACTGTAACGGTGCCAACTCCAATATACCAAACTAGCAGTGGACAGTATAGTGAGTAATAGCCATTTCTATTTTGAAAAGTTAGGAGAAATACTAACAATCACATTCAGAGGACTTGTGTAACCGCCAGTTTCTTTTCTCCATCTTCTATTATTATTAAATTTCCTTTACTGTCCATTATATGAAGGTCTATTATGGAGGTATTTTCCTTTCTTCACAATTTCAGTTGGGTTAAGCTTTAGGTCTTTTTGTTTTATGCAGCTGCACTAAGAGTCTGAAGTTTTTTTGAACCACTAATTAAAACTAATCATCATGATGCATATTAACAGAGAACGTAACTTTTTTCATATAAAACAGTCATTCTTAAGACCAAAAAATGACCTCATCATTCATCTGTTTTAATAATTTGCCTTCCCTCTACGAATAGCTTTTAAATTTTTTCGTATTATTTATGTTTCAACTGGGTTTGGCTAGGCTGAAGTCTGTTGGCACATCCATTGATCATTTTCATGTAAAACGTAGTGTAATTATGATCATGTAAGCATAAGGACTGCTGAAATAACTAGACATCTTGATTTTTGGCTCACAGAGAACAAAGGTTTTTCTCACAGAATTACTAAAGTTTCCGGTTCTGTGATATTTCTGTCTGGCACTTAGGTCTCCTTATCTCTTTTACGTCTTCATATATATTTCCTAAATCTGTGATATAGTACATATGAATTCTGCTTTTGTTTGATCAAAGGCATTTGAGTGAATAGTGTGTTTTTCTTCTTTTTTCTTTACGTTTGCTTCTTAAATTTCTCATACTTCGATTTGTTCATTAAACCCAGTGCTGCAAATGAAACTTCTTTGCTGCATTAGTTTTCTAATGTTCTGAGGTAAAGTCAAATATGATAAAAGTCTGACCTCCAGGTTACTATAGATTTTTAGTTACATCTCAACCTTGGTTTATATTAACTCTTAACATTTCAGTTGTATCAAAAACAGATTCCCAAGGAGCAAACTTTCTATTTCTCTCAAAGCTGAGACCTTTAATAGTAACTAGAGGAAGGCATTTTTGGCTAAACTTGTCTACTTTCCAAGTTTGTTTAGCTTAGTCATCTTTTTCCTTAAGTTCTTTGTTGACACATGTGAAGAGGTATATCTTCATACTTATATGTATGTATATACATTTTTTGTGTGTTCTAAGATGTTGATGCATAACCTGTATTTTTCCTGTACTTCAGCATACTTGAGATTCTCACTTGAATAGAAAGCATGCTCTTTAGGAAAGAGATATATTACCGTAGACTCTAAAGGAGGGTAGTGGAGTTTTGAGAAGTCCCACCATGCACTCCTCTGGTTCAAGTCCTGGACCTAGCGGCTTACTTTCTTACTCCATCTCTCTCTCTCATCAAATTAACATAAATAAAGTTAAATAAAATATTTTTTAAAAGAAATCTTTGAAATGAGAAATACAGCCTTAGGAATTAAAAAAATAAACAGTGGGGCCAGCAGGTGGTATAGTGGTTAAAGCTTAAGGCTCTAGGTTTCTACATGGCCGATTGCAGTTCAGCTCCAAGACCTTATTACTTGAAAATCACGCTGGGTGAGTAAGTCCCAAAGGAGAATACAGGAAAAGGGATTACAGCATGGTCATTCCCTTGGGGGTTGATTTCTCACTTAACTTCTCACTGTCTGTCTTTCTCTTTCTCCCTCCCCCTACTCTCCTGGAAGTGCACATACCCTATGGCAAGAACCTTAAAAAATAAATCAAACAGTAAGTGGAATAAACTTAGATGCTAGGTACAACAGAAGAGAGCTGAGAAAATATTGAGTCATCAGAAAAATCATGATGAATTTTTGTATGCCAAAAGGCTTCATGACTTTTCCAACAACCCTATAATTGGCTATGGGGAACATAAACAGGTAGAAAATGTGAAAGAGATGAAATGTCATGGAGAATAGAATGAGATGCATCAGTGGAAGCATTTATAAAATTTCCAGAAGGGGAAATAGGGAGAAAGGAAATATTTAAAGAGATAATAGCATAATACTTTCTGCAGTACCGGGTAAAAATAATTAATTACATAGGTAGCTATAAAATCCAGTATAGGTTTGGTTTGTAACTTTTTAATTTAAATCATATATGATTTGAAAGACAAAGGCATAAAACAATAACTAAATCTATGTTAATGAGCATACAGTGTATGAAAATGTCATTCATGACAATAATAGCATAAAAGAGCAGATATTTGGTAGATTGTTGAAGGTAAATACTAGCTCAAGTTGTTTGTTATAAATTTGTCAAAACTTAACTTGGGTTGGACTAGCAGATGGCTTGGTGGTTGGAGTGCTTGACTCCTAACAACTGTGGTTCAAGTCCCAAACTGGTGGCTTTTATTCTTGCTTTCCCCCTCTCTTTTTCTCCCACTCTCCCTAGTCAAATTAAAAAAAAAAAAAGATGATGGATAGAATTGAATAAATAATGTTTAAAAAGTTAACTTGGACTAGGGTTTTTCCTCTTTTCTGTGTAATTGTGTTTTCATTCTTCTGAAATATGGTAAAGTTCATTCATTTTTGTGTTTCATTTTTTCCCTCCCTCTGTTGATCTTTTTAAGTATATGAAACATTAATATAGTTTCAAAAATCAGAATTCCGCAGAAAAGGTATACGTAGTAGTGCTCCCTACCTTCCTTCAATCTTTTTTTTTTGCTTCTTTCCCACCCACCCCAGTAAAAAACTGAACTCATTAAACTGGCTTATCCTTCCTGATTATTTTCTTGAACAGATGAACAGATACATGTATATTTTATTTCTCCATTTTCCATAAAAGATGCCATACTCTACGTTACTTAGATGTACCTTCATTTATTACTCTTCTGTGTTTGAGCTTATATAATTGATTATGTAATTATAATCTATTAGAAACAGTGCTATAATGAATAATTTAAGCATGTATATTTTGTGCCATTGAAGTGAATTGAATTGCTAGAAGTGGTATCAATGCATAAACACATGCATTTTCTTAGTTATCACAAAGTTCCTTCTATCAGAGTTGTGCACTTTTATACTCATAGCAGTAATATATAAGACTTTATTTTCTCATGGTTTAGCTAACAGGATATATTATTACACTTCTTTATTTTTACCAGTCCTTTTTTAGGAGTTGTTTATATATTGGGGATATCAGTCCTTTATTGGTGATCTGTGCAGATGTTTTCTCCTAGTATTACTGATTTTTTAAATTTTATTTTTTGTATTTTTTTTTAGATTCAAAGACTTTCATCATGTAGTCACTTGTCATTTTATCTGATTATAAATAACCATGATTTGTATTTCATTAGTAAATTTTAGGTATATTTTAATTAATATAATTCTCTCCTTTTTTAGGAAAATTTTGAATGACTTATCTTCTGATGCACCAGGAGTGCCAAGGATTGAAGAAGAAAAGTCTGAAGAAGAGACTTCAGCACCTGCCATCACCACTGTAACGGTGCCAACTCCAATATACCAAACTAGCAGTGGACAGTATAGTGAGTAATAGCCATTTCTATTTTGAAAAGTTAGGAGAAATACTAACAATCACATTCAGAGGACTTGTGTAACCGCCAGTTTCTTTTCTCCATCTTCTATTATTATTAAATTTCCTTTACTGTCCATTATATGAAGGTCTATTATGGAGGTATTTTCCTTTCTTCACAATTTCAGTTGGGTTAAGCTTTAGGTCTTTTTGTTTTATGCAGCTGCACTAAGAGTCTGAAGTTTTTTTGAACCACTAATTAAAACTAATCATCATGATGCATATTAACAGAGAACGTAACTTTTTTCATATAAAACAGTCATTCTTAAGACCAAAAAATGACCTCATCATTCATCTGTTTTAATAATTTGCCTTCCCTCTACGAATAGCTTTTAAATTTTTTCGTATTATTTATGTTTCAACTGGGTTTGGCTAGGCTGAAGTCTGTTGGCACATCCATTGATCATTTTCATGTAAAACGTAGTGTAATTATGATCATGTAAGCATAAGGACTGCTGAAATAACTAGACATCTTGATTTTTGGCTCACAGAGAACAAAGGTTTTTCTCACAGAATTACTAAAGTTTCCGGTTCTGTGATATTTCTGTCTGGCACTTAGGTCTCCTTATCTCTTTTACGTCTTCATATATATTTCCTAAATCTGTGATATAGTACATATGAATTCTGCTTTTGTTTGATCAAAGGCATTTGAGTGAATAGTGTGTTTTTCTTCTTTTTTCTTTACGTTTGCTTCTTAAATTTCTCATACTTCGATTTGTTCATTAAACCCAGTGCTGCAAATGAAACTTCTTTGCTGCATTAGTTTTCTAATGTTCTGAGGTAAAGTCAAATATGATAAAAGTCTGACCTCCAGGTTACTATAGATTTTTAGTTACATCTCAACCTTGGTTTATATTAACTCTTAACATTTCAGTTGTATCAAAAACAGATTCCCAAGGAGCAAACTTTCTATTTCTCTCAAAGCTGAGACCTTTAATAGTAACTAGAGGAAGGCATTTTTGGCTAAACTTGTCTACTTTCCAAGTTTGTTTAGCTTAGTCATCTTTTTCCTTAAGTTCTTTGTTGACACATGTGAAGAGGTATATCTTCATACTTATATGTATGTATATACATTTTTTGTGTGTTCTAAGATGTTGATGCATAACCTGTATTTTTCCTGTACTTCAGCATACTTGAGATTCTCACTTGAATAGAAAGCATGCTCTTTAGGAAAGAGATATATTACCGTAGACTCTAAAGGAGGGTAGTGGAGTTTTGAGAAGTCCCACCATGCACTCCTCTAACAACTGAAATTTGCTAGTTTTAAATTGAGATTTATAAAGATTTTTTTCATTATCTTTTATCTTCTCTGTATATGCACACCTGCTTTGATAGAACTGTTTTAACATTATGTTCTTAATATTCATTATGAAGCAACATGAGTAGTCAAATACATAGTAACATTAATATATTTCATCTCTTATAAAATAAATGGATGGTTGTCAAAATTCTAATTCTGGGGCCAGCAGGTGACATAGTGCTTAAGGTGCTGGACCCCCACGTGACTGACCACAGTTTGAATCCTGGTCTTGGTGGCTTGAAAATCATTCTGGGCATGTGTGTGTGTGTGCCCAAAACCCCAAGAGTAGAAGGTACTGCGGTGTGGCCATTCCTCCTACAGTGTGATTCTCACTTTCCCTTTCATTCTCTCTGTCTCTCTCTTTCCAGCAAACACATGCACCCTATGGCAATAACCTAAAAAAAAAAGAAAAAAGAAAAAGAAAAAAAATCCAATGCTAGAGGTTTTAAATATTATTTTCATCCCTTTAGTATTAAGAGTGATATATAAATCCCTCCATTAGTTTTCTTTGTTTTTATACATAACTCTTACTGCATTGCTAACAGAAATACCTAGGACAGGATGATTTTACAAATAAATAAAAATATAATTCAGCTCACAGTTTGGAGGTCTAGGTCCAACTACTGGTAAAGCCACAATAGGACAGAGGGCAGGATCATAAAACAGAGCATGGTCTGTGCCGTGCGTACTCTCCCTGCCCCTTTTCTTCTCTATATGTACACCAGAACTAAATCTTGGAGGCCTTGCTCTAACCACCTAGTAACTAATCTCTTCTGAAAGGTCCCGCCCTTTTTTTTTTAATAAATACTTATTTTTAATTTTATTTATTCATTCATTTATTTTCATTTGACCAGAGATACACAGAGAAAGTGAGAAAGCAAGCCACCAGGTCTGGAACTTGAACCATAGTCAGCCATGTGGGAGTGTCCAGCGCCTTAACCACCACACCACCTGCTGGTCCTCAGCCCCACCTTTTAACACAATAATCAGATTACATTTTCACTTTCATAACTTCATTACAATGTTTGAACACATGAATTTTGGATTTTTACACAGGTGAGAAGGGAAGACCTAGGTTGTTTATATACCATGGACATATTGCACATGCATTATATATGTTAAAGAGTTGCATCATGTTTCACTGTATAAATACAAGTATTCAAACATCCTCTTACAGATGGCTATTTGAGATAGTTCTCTATCAAACATTGCCATGTAAACATCCTCATGTATGTAGTAGTGTCTCAGTTGAATAGTATCCTGAGAGTGGAATTGTTGAATGAAAGTATATCCTGCCTAATGGCCCTTCCAAGGGGATGCATCAAGTTTCGTTCCTTCCATAAATTGGTTATTTAGGGCCATCTGGTGGCATGGTAGTTAAGGCAGCTAGATCCCACATGGCTGACTGTGCAGTTTGAGGCCCTGACTCAGCACCTTGGAAAAACACCCTGGATGCACGTGCATGCATGCCCAAAACCCCAAAAGGAGGGAAAAATGGAGAAAAGATGATGATATGACCTTGCCCCACGAGAGGGTGCTAGTCACTCCCTGTCCCATCGCTCTCTGGTGAGTGCCCACACACCAGTGATTTTAAGTTATTTCTTTAATTTTTGGGCCAGAGGGTGGCATAGTGGTTAAGGCACTGGACTCCCACACAGCTGACCACAGTTAAAGTCCTGGACCCAGACCCAGCATTTTGAAAATCACACCAGTAACATGTGCATGCATGTCCAGAGTCCCAGGAGGAGAATGAAAGAGAAGAGATTGTGGCATAGCCGTCTCCCAGAATGTGATTTCTCACTTTCTTTCTCACTGTCTGTCTGTCTCTCTCTCAGGCAAGTTTATGCACTCTATGGCAAAAACCTTAAAAAATAATAATAACTATTATTATTTTAAAATTTTAATTTATGTTCTGAATTATTCCATCCCTTGATTCACTCTCCTCTAGTAAAGTTTTGCTTAAGAGTCTTCTCTTAGGTAGAAATGTATATTATTTTGAACTTGACTTTTTTTATTTTTTATTTCACTAAATAAAATTATGACTCATGATTTTTATTCTCTTAATTCTGGCCGCTAAGAATTTCAACTAAGTTGGGACCAGCAATTAGCGTAATGGCTGTTACTGGGCTCCCATGTAGTTGACCACGGCTCGAGTCCTGGACCTGGTGGCTTAAACTCACGCCGGGCGTGTGTGCATGTGTGCCCAAGATCCCAAGAGGTAAATGGAGAAGGGGTTGTGGCGTGGCCATCCCGCTGGGGGGTTGGTGATTTCTCGCTTTCTCTCTTTCTGTCTCTCTCTGTCTTTCTGGTGAGTGCACACGCCCTATAGCAGAAAAAAACCAAAAACAAACAAAAAAACAACTTCTCCAAAAAAAGAAAAAAGAATTTCAAATAAGTTTTTGCTTAATTATATTTTTCCTCAGTTTAGATACTCTGGCGTAATAATTATATACACCTTAGTTTTTTGACATCTGGCTTTTCGTACTTGTTTTAATGAATTTGGTTTTATTAAAAACCTTTTTGGCAAGTATATAAATATTATACAAAAATATTATACAAAAAATCATATTCAGTAGAATAAGACTTTAGTTTTAAAAGTATATTCATATACATGATCTCCTTGGAAGTGCATAACTATTCTTAGTAGCTAGAACCAGGTGTTTTTATTTTACAGAAGAGATAACAGAGTGAAATAACACTTTATGAAGGAACTTGGACTGAGAACTCTAATCTTCTCATACATAGTTTTTAAATTTTTCCTACCTTGAGCTCATTGCTGTTTAACAAAAAAGAAGGTGAAATGTTAAAATACAGTGATGTTTGCTCATTAGCTCTGTATGAGAAATTGTGGTTTTTGAGACTGATTCTTCAAGTAATCTTGCAAAATTTAACAGTTTAATTAATCTTGTACTAGTTAGTTCTTATACATTTCATCTCCCCCTCTTGTCTCAGATAAGGATGAGCTAAAGTGATGGATTGTATATACCAGTGTCCTAGTTTCCACATGTATCACTTTGCTAAACTTACCAAATCATAACCACTAATTCTTTTTATTTGTTGATTGAGCAGTGATAATCAATTTTAAATGTACAGGTGACTCAGGATGTTAATTTCCCCAGACCTTGCTGACGGGTGCTGTCAAACTAATTCCCTTCTAAAAGCCAGTAGCATACAAAAATCAAAACATACTGACTTTCTTACATTTTTTATTGTGTTCTTACTCAGTTAAATTCTATGCGGTTTTATATGTAATATTGTGAATTCTGATTCTTCTCTTTCTGGAGAACTTGATTCCTAGCAGAGTTGTTCAGAGAAGATCCATTCACCTGTCTCAGTGTTGATTTTGAAAGGATCACTTTTTCCAAACAGTAATTTCTTTCTATTAACTTTTCCATGTAGCATGAAGGTTATTTCCATTTTCTCTTTCTTTCTTTCTTTTTTCTTTTCTTTCTCCCTTCCTTCCTTCCTCCTCTGCTTTGCTTTGCTTTGCTTTGCTTTGCTTTCTTTTCCTTTCCTTTCCTTTCCTTTCCTTTCCTTTCCTTTCCTTTCCTTGTTTCTTATTGCTAGAGAGTGTATGTATTCAATTACAGCGGGAAAGTGAGAAAGCCTCTCTCTTTCTGCTCCCATGGGGGGATGGTCATACCTGAAGCTCTTCTCTGTTTCTCCCTTCAGGATTTTGGGCATGTATATAACACGCTGAGCATGTTTCTTAAGTCACTGGGTCCAGGACCCAAATTGCACAGACCCATGTGGAATACAGCTACCTTAATCGCTGTATCACCGGTTAGTCAATGATTTCAGTTTTCTGCAAAGTGAAGTACCTATTAGTAGGAGCAAAAGTTGATTATTTTGCAATAGGTAATGAATGGTAAGTGTGGTTCATTAGTGAATATCAATAAAGAGTCCTATATGAGAATCCTTGGATATATAACTTAGACATGACAGTATTTTTTTCTAATTGATGATCTCAAGCTCCAGTTTTTTTCCTAAGAATTATTTAGTTTTATTTACTTATTCATCCATTCATTTTTTAAATTTGACCAGAGAGACAGAGAGAGAAAGAGCGAGAGTGAGAAAGCAAGCCACCAGATCCAGGATTTGAACCATAATCAGCCATTGTCCAGCACCTTAACCACCACGCCACCTGCTGGTTCCCTCAAGCTCCGACTTTGAAGCCCATGAGAGAGTTTACCATAATTAAGTCTATAAGAGGTATCATTTGTTTCTTTGATTGGAATTGTGATATAGTTTATGAATCACTAGAAGAGTTAGAGAATAGAATACATTGATATACTCCTCTATTAGTTATACTTTAAAACAGCTATTTATTAGGTGTGTGTTACATGCCCACCACTATATTAAGTGCTTGAAACTAAAGAAAAATCACATTTCCTACTCTTAAGAAATTAATTTATTAATGAGGTAGCAAATACTAAGCAATTAACATATATTATGTAATTAATGCTAGTATAAAAGAGTGTATATCACAAAGAGGACATTTCTAAGAATCAAATAATTTAAAAAGAAACTTAACGTTTTCCCACTTGAAAAAAAATTGCCAGAGGTCATCTGCAGTTGCCAAAGAGAGAGAGTAAAAGGTGAAGTGAGAAAGCATCCCACTTAGGGACTGGCCAATCCCTTCTCCATTTCTTCCTCCTTTTGGGATTTTAGGCATGCACACACACAAACACACACAGTGTGTTTTCCTAAGCTGCCAAGTCCAGGGAGGACTTGAACCATGCAGTCAACTGTGTGGGATCCAGTAGCCTCCGCCACCATGCCACCATCATTGTAATTATTATTATACAGTATAGAAGAGTTTATAGAATGCACTTTTACTGTAGAAATTGGATGTGAGTTTTCTGAGCAGAAAGTAACTTTAAGTATTCAAAAACATTTTTGATGATATTTCTGTAATTCTTCAAGATTATGGCTTGCAAATTATTATATCCTTGAATTTAGTGTGTTTTAAAAGCCGTAAACATGGTATTACTTAAACTTTTAACAATAAAATCCATTGGGTTTTAGTTGCCATTACCCAGGGAGGAGCAATACAACTGGCTAACAATGGTACCGATGGGGTACAGGGCCTGCAAACATTAACCATGACCAATGCAGCTGCCACCCAGCCAGGCACTACCATTCTACAGTATGCACAGACCACTGATGGACAGCAGATCTTAGTGCCCAGCAACCAAGTTGTGGTTCAAGGTAAGGAAATTCATATTTCACAGGTATGCTAAATTCTTTGAAAGATGAAAATATGATAAACTTTCAGAAAAAGTAAGTATCATATTACAAAGCACTATCAAGATATATAGTTCTTTTTTTCCCAATATAGATATTTTTTCATGAACTCTTCCATTATTACAATTGGACCAAAATGTCATGGCATAAAAACAACTATTTCAATCATAAAAATATAAATCTATTGTTATTTAACACCATTAGTATTTGAGATAGGAGAAACAGGGTAATTAGGTACAAAGACAATAGGAGTTGGGAAAGATGGATTCTAGATTTAAATTGTACATGGATCTGTTAAATAACCTTGATTAATACCAAACCTCAGACCTCTTCGTGCCTGCTGATTTTTGTTTTGTTTTGGTTGCATGTCAAGTGAGAGTTACAGTAAATCACTGATAAGAATTTTAGAGATTTAGACATCTATTCCTCTGCTTTTAAAATTTTTTAAATTTTGCTATAGGGTGCCTTTTGGGGGAGATGGCCTCCATTTTCTTCTCAGGATTTTGGGCACACACACGTACCCTGCATGTTTTTTTAAGCCACTGGGCTGGGACTCAAACTGCACACACAGTTGGCTGTGTGAGATCCAGTCACCTAACCTCCACACCACTGGCTAGCCCTATTTTTCTACTTTTTATTCAAAGGAAATTTGGGCCTTCTTTTTTAAGGTTTTTGCCATAGGGCACATACACTCACTGGAGGGAGACAATGAGAAATCACTCCCCCAGGAGGGATGGCCAAGCCATAATTCCTTCTCTCAAGATTTTGGGCACACATACTTGGCATGATTTTCAAGTTGCCAGGCCTGGGACTTGAACTGCAGTTGACCATGTAGGAGTCCAGTGCCTTTATCATCATACCACTTCGTGGCCTCTTGGGCCCTCTTTTCTAAGATCATCAGTTTTTATTTCAAATGAAAATACTGTATTCTAAAAGATCTTAGACAAGTATGTAAGTCTACTGGACTTTATAGAGGAAAAGTAGTAGCTAAATCTTTGATGAGTTATAGAAAGTTTTTTTCTGGTCTATTTTTAATTTAGTTTTTATTTTTATTTTTTTTCCCTGTTTATTTTAGGATAAGAGTTGACTGTTTTTCATTTGAATGTTCCAAGAATGTTATTTGTGCCAGATTAGAAATTTGTAGATTGAGATAATAATCATAAATATATTTCTAAAAGTATTTTTAATCATGCATTTTGCCTATGTTAGGTATGTGTCCCTTCACCATGGATAAAAACTTTTGAATAATCCTAAAACACCAGCTAGAAAGTCAGAATTTACTTATTTTAAGAGCCATATTATATTTACAGAATTTATTCTGTTACTAAGCAAACAAATATTTGAAAAAGATAATATTTTGGTTATTAATGGGAGTAAAACACCTTTTCACTTTACATGCAGGTACTCAAAAATTGTAAAGCAGGATGTCAGTGAATTTGAATTCTGAACGTCAGTTTGAAGATGGTAACATATTTAGTATATAAATCTTTTCCACTCAAACTACACATTTTAATTAATTTTAATAACTAATGTGAATTTTATAGACTTTCAAATTCTTTCAAATAACATTAGGTTCCTATTCTTGGGAATAGGAATATTAAGCTGTTTTTAGAAGCAGTTTGATAATAGTACTTGTGTTTCTTTTCACAAATGGTGGATCTGTTAGCCATTGTCATTTACATTAAAACGATATGTTTACAAATAATGTAATTGGCATCAAGTAGTACACTTTTTCATATTTTCAGTTTTGTTTCAATTAGAAATTTACAGTAGTTGACCATAATGCTTTATTTTCTCTTCCATTTTGCTATTTTATGAAAAATCATGGTCGTTTTTATGTCGTGGCAAGAGTCTACTTGAAATTTTTTAATATGAATTTACCAATATCAAAGGAAGACATTGAGGACTATACTCTATCTAGGAAGACCATCCAAGCTGTGTCCTACTTACCTTTTAGACTTAAGGTTGGTAAGCATGTTAACAACAGAATAGAACTGCATTTCAATGAAAGATAAATGTAAGACCTAGCAGACACAGGTTAAGACCTCTTTCACTCAAGTGTGTCTACTAATAAATACATTAAATTGGGAATTGTCTTTAGTAATGACCAAAGAGGCTGATTCTTTCAACATTTTAGCCAGACTCATTTCTTTTTTGTTTCCCTTTCAATCCAGAAATGTATGTTTAGATTGATAATTGACACATATAGTTGAATCAAGTCGCAGTGTTTTCTGTGTCTGACACTACGCTCACAATTCTTTTCAGCTGCCTCTGGAGATGTACAAACATACCAGATTCGCACAGCACCCACTAGCACTATTGCCCCAGGAGTTGTTATGGCATCCTCCCCAGCACTTCCCACACAGCCTGCTGAAGAAGCAGCACGAAAGAGAGAGGTTCGTCTAATGAAGAACAGGTACCTCTATTGCATTTACTTAGATTGTTGTGGGTCCGATACGTCCTCAGATTCTGGCAGACATTCGTGCATCTTTACAACTGCTGATACTAGGATCTTTGCACTGAACTTGTTTTTTCTGGTAGAATTGATTATTTGTAATAAAGTAAATGTGTGATGGCCAGTCCATGTTTTAATGAATGCTGTCTTAACTCAAAATAATGTCCTTAAGATTCTTCAAAAATAGACTAATTCTAAGAATACTATGTTACTGCCAGAACCTTAAAGTATTGGGTCATCAGAATAGACATGAGGCATGTTTGCATAGAAAAAAGACATCAAGGGGAACCAGCAGTTGGCGTAATGGCTATGTCGCTGGATTCCCACGCAGTCGACCGCGGTTAGCGTCCCGGACCTGGTGGCTTAAAACTCACGCCAGGCACGTGTGTGTGCGTGCCCAAGATCCCGAGAGGAGAATGGAGGAGAAGGGATTGCGGCGTGACCATCCCCCCTGGGGGGTGATTTCTCGCTTTCTGTCTCTCACTGATGGACAGCAGATCTTAGTGCCCAGCAACCAAGTTGTGGTTCAAGGTAAGGAAATTCATATTTCACAGGTATGCTAAATTCTTTGAAAGATGAAAATATGATAAACTTTCAGAAAAAGTAAGTATCATATTACAAAGCACTATCAAGATATATAGTTCTTTTTTTCCCAATATAGATATTTTTTCATGAACTCTTCCATTATTACAATTGGACCAAAATGTCATGGCATAAAAACAACTATTTCAATCATAAAAATATAAATCTATTGTTATTTAACACCATTAGTATTTGAGATAGGAGAAACAGGGTAATTAGGTACAAAGACAATAGGAGTTGGGAAAGATGGATTCTAGATTTAAATTGTACATGGATCTGTTAAATAACCTTGATTAATACCAAACCTCAGACCTCTTCGTGCCTGCTGATTTTTGTTTTGTTTTGGTTGCATGTCAAGTGAGAGTTACAGTAAATCACTGATAAGAATTTTAGAGATTTAGACATCTATTCCTCTGCTTTTAAAATTTTTTAAATTTTGCTATAGGGTGCCTTTTGGGGGAGATGGCCTCCATTTTCTTCTCAGGATTTTGGGCACACACACGTACCCTGCATGTTTTTTTAAGCCACTGGGCTGGGACTCAAACTGCACACACAGTTGGCTGTGTGAGATCCAGTCACCTAACCTCCACACCACTGGCTAGCCCTATTTTTCTACTTTTTATTCAAAGGAAATTTGGGCCTTCTTTTTTAAGGTTTTTGCCATAGGGCACATACACTCACTGGAGGGAGACAATGAGAAATCACTCCCCCAGGAGGGATGGCCAAGCCATAATTCCTTCTCTCAAGATTTTGGGCACACATACTTGGCATGATTTTCAAGTTGCCAGGCCTGGGACTTGAACTGCAGTTGACCATGTAGGAGTCCAGTGCCTTTATCATCATACCACTTCGTGGCCTCTTGGGCCCTCTTTTCTAAGATCATCAGTTTTTATTTCAAATGAAAATACTGTATTCTAAAAGATCTTAGACAAGTATGTAAGTCTACTGGACTTTATAGAGGAAAAGTAGTAGCTAAATCTTTGATGAGTTATAGAAAGTTTTTTTCTGGTCTATTTTTAATTTAGTTTTTATTTTTATTTTTTTTCCCTGTTTATTTTAGGATAAGAGTTGACTGTTTTTCATTTGAATGTTCCAAGAATGTTATTTGTGCCAGATTAGAAATTTGTAGATTGAGATAATAATCATAAATATATTTCTAAAAGTATTTTTAATCATGCATTTTGCCTATGTTAGGTATGTGTCCCTTCACCATGGATAAAAACTTTTGAATAATCCTAAAACACCAGCTAGAAAGTCAGAATTTACTTATTTTAAGAGCCATATTATATTTACAGAATTTATTCTGTTACTAAGCAAACAAATATTTGAAAAAGATAATATTTTGGTTATTAATGGGAGTAAAACACCTTTTCACTTTACATGCAGGTACTCAAAAATTGTAAAGCAGGATGTCAGTGAATTTGAATTCTGAACGTCAGTTTGAAGATGGTAACATATTTAGTATATAAATCTTTTCCACTCAAACTACACATTTTAATTAATTTTAATAACTAATGTGAATTTTATAGACTTTCAAATTCTTTCAAATAACATTAGGTTCCTATTCTTGGGAATAGGAATATTAAGCTGTTTTTAGAAGCAGTTTGATAATAGTACTTGTGTTTCTTTTCACAAATGGTGGATCTGTTAGCCATTGTCATTTACATTAAAACGATATGTTTACAAATAATGTAATTGGCATCAAGTAGTACACTTTTTCATATTTTCAGTTTTGTTTCAATTAGAAATTTACAGTAGTTGACCATAATGCTTTATTTTCTCTTCCATTTTGCTATTTTATGAAAAATCATGGTCGTTTTTATGTCGTGGCAAGAGTCTACTTGAAATTTTTTAATATGAATTTACCAATATCAAAGGAAGACATTGAGGACTATACTCTATCTAGGAAGACCATCCAAGCTGTGTCCTACTTACCTTTTAGACTTAAGGTTGGTAAGCATGTTAACAACAGAATAGAACTGCATTTCAATGAAAGATAAATGTAAGACCTAGCAGACACAGGTTAAGACCTCTTTCACTCAAGTGTGTCTACTAATAAATACATTAAATTGGGAATTGTCTTTAGTAATGACCAAAGAGGCTGATTCTTTCAACATTTTAGCCAGACTCATTTCTTTTTTGTTTCCCTTTCAATCCAGAAATGTATGTTTAGATTGATAATTGACACATATAGTTGAATCAAGTCGCAGTGTTTTCTGTGTCTGACACTACGCTCACAATTCTTTTCAGCTGCCTCTGGAGATGTACAAACATACCAGATTCGCACAGCACCCACTAGCACTATTGCCCCAGGAGTTGTTATGGCATCCTCCCCAGCACTTCCCACACAGCCTGCTGAAGAAGCAGCACGAAAGAGAGAGGTTCGTCTAATGAAGAACAGGTACCTCTATTGCATTTACTTAGATTGTTGTGGGTCCGATACGTCCTCAGATTCTGGCAGACATTCGTGCATCTTTACAACTGCTGATACTAGGATCTTTGCACTGAACTTGTTTTTTCTGGTAGAATTGATTATTTGTAATAAAGTAAATGTGTGATGGCCAGTCCATGTTTTAATGAATGCTGTCTTAACTCAAAATAATGTCCTTAAGATTCTTCAAAAATAGACTAATTCTAAGAATACTATGTTACTGCCAGAACCTTAAAGTATTGGGTCATCAGAATAGACATGAGGCATGTTTGCATAGAAAAAAGACATCAAGGGGAACCAGCAGTTGGCGTAATGGCTATGTCGCTGGATTCCCACGCAGTCGACCGCGGTTAGCGTCCCGGACCTGGTGGCTTAAAACTCACGCCAGGCACGTGTGTGTGCGTGCCCAAGATCCCGAGAGGAGAATGGAGGAGAAGGGATTGCGGCGTGACCATCCCCCCTGGGGGGTGATTTCTCGCTTTCTGTCTCTC